CTGGAGACTGCACGACGAACAGCGTCCACACGCCCCCGTTCGCCTGGTGAGAGCGCCGGGAGGGGCCACCAGGAGAGGCGCAGCGCCAGCACGGGGAGGAGGCAGTACAGGCCGGCAAGGGGCGGCGGCAGTGGCGGCGCATCTTCGCCCACCGCTCGCCGCCCACCATCCGCCACCACCGCTCACCACCCATTGCCCACCACCGGCGACCCGCCGTCCGCCACCGCCGCCACCGCCCACCGCCGGCTGCCCACCATCCGCCACCCGCCCAGCGCTCGCCGCCACAGCCCGCCACCCGCCGCCCGCTTTGGCCGTGGCCGAGGCTCGAATCTAAAGTCTTCGGTCTCTCCATCTCCCGCACCGAGCATTCCCCCGACGAACCTGTCGAAACCCGAGGCGGTACACCACTAGCTCTGTCCACGAGCCGGATCACTTGTTTTCGTCAGGATCAGTGCGATCGTTCGCCAGCCAACGAGGGCTGCAGGCGACAAGGGATGGGAGGGAGGTGGAACCCTGGTCATGAAGCTTCTTTGCCTGAGGCACTGCTGGTGGACTCTGGGGAGTGGGCTCGGGAAAGGGAGCTTGGTTCGCCGAGCGGACAGTGTCTGGAGAAGGGAGGGGGGAGGAGGATGAGGAGGAGGATGAGGAGGAGGAGGAGGAGGAGGAGTAGGAGGAGGAGGAGGTGGAGGAGGAGGAAGAGGAGGAGGAGGAAGAAGAGAAGGATGAGGAGGACGAGAAGGAGACGCGCTGTTGTCGATGAGTTTCTCCATACCGCAGAGGCCGGGGGCTTCCCAATGCCAGTGTTCGCCGCTCAGATCCCGTCGCGAATTGAGGGCGCGATCATATTCGAAGCCGCGCTCTTGTGGGGCGTTGTGTAGGTGGAGGCGGACCTGAACAACCTACAAAACAACTGGGCTCGCACCACGCTGGGATGCTAGTGGGGCCCACGCCTGATCTGGGCTCTGTCCAGGGCGCAGTGCGGGTGGGATCTGCGGCTCGGCACTCGCATGCTTGAGCATGCTTTGAGGGCGCGCGCACGTCTATGGCTGCTGCCCGTCGACCACCCCCCCGCGGTCATCATGCGCGAGGCCGACAGGGCCTCCCCGGCCCTGTCCTGGTGGCACCGCACGGGGCAGCTGCTGGCAGGGTTCCTGGGGCATGGGGGCCTGCCCGACGTCGTGGATGTGCACGCCTTCGCTGCTGCAGTACCCGGGGCTGTGGCTGGCCCAGCAGCGCCAAAACTCACCTGCGGCGCCACACGAGGGCTGGCGTCCGCACGGTCCTCCGTTCTTGCGACCGCGAGGTGTAAGAGGCTGCGGCGCGACACCCTCTGCCAGGTTTCGGAGTTCGTTTATGGGCTGCCTGGCGCATGGGCTGCCTGCCGCAAATCTGGCAGATGGCCCCCCCCCCAGTCCTTCGATCTGGCGCTCCAGTGTGTCTGGATCGCTGCGGAGCTTGCCGTTGCCAATCTGTGTTGGTCGCCCATGCCTTGGCGGCGTGCGCGGGCACAAATGAGCTTCGCGAAGAGCTCCGGCGCAGCACCCATATGCCTCCGGCTACGGACATGGGAGCGGTCCTGCACGCCCTTTTCGGCCCCGCGCGGGGACCTGCACACGTGCGCTTCGTGTCCCACGCGCCACTTGCATGCGGGAGGCATGGTGGGGCCCGGGCGGAGGCGGAGGCAAGCGCTGGTGAGGCCTGCGCGGCGCTGCAGAGGGCGGCGAGGAAGTGAGCACAGCGGGCTGCCGGCGGCCACTGGCGTCTGGGGCCAGAGGGTGAGAGACCCCGGCCCATCCCCCGGGGCGGGCGCGATCCTTCCGCGGCGGGTGCGCGTCCGCGGGAGCGCCGTGTGGAGACAGCGAGAAAAGCGAGGAGGCCAGACATCGGCCCCAGACTTCGGGCCCGGACCCCCAGAGGTCTGGACCCACTCCCCGGGACCGCTCTGTCAGCCCGACTCCTTCTTGGACGGCCCCGAGGCCCAGCAGAGTCGAGCTGTGAAGGCCCCGGGGCCCGAAGCCTGCCGAGCCCGCCCGGCTCGAAGATGTCCAGACGCCAGGACCTCGGGGACCCCACCCGTCGTGATGTTCTCATGGCTCGAAGGGTTCTGGGGAGCATGGACTTGGCGGCGCGCACAGGGGGGTGGGGGGGGGGGAAGGCTTCTGAGAAGGAGGCTGCTCCTTAGAAGGCGCCGGCCCCACATCTACAGACGAGGCCCGCGCCTTCTTAGAAGCAGGGGCGCTTCCAAGAAGGCTCCCCCCTTCCCCTGCCCCCCTCTGCGCGTGGCCGATGGACCCTGCGGCAACTAGAGGCCTCCTAGATGGGGTCGGAGTAGATGGGGTCGGGGGATCGCCCCGCATCGACGACACATCGGCGATGCATCGGCGATGCGTAACTTGGCGACGCCAGCGCGGAGGAAATCGGGCTCCACATCGGACCGCATCGGTTATGCATCGGCGATGCAGCGCGACCCTCCGACTCCATGTGCTTCGACATCATCTGTTGGGAAATCTAGAGCTAGGTCGAGCCTGTCCCCTTGCAGGCGGATTCTGGACGATATTTGTATACATATCTATATAGCACATATTTAAAGCATACACAGAACTATGCATCAATAACCGAACATAACATGCAGGGGCCCCCAAGAGCCCCCTCAGAGGCCCCAGGGGAGTCCAAGACGCCGCCGAGGAGCCCCAAGACGCTCCCAAGAAACCCCCAAGAGGCCCCCAGGACGCCCCAAGAGGCCCCAAATAGCGCTCCAGGGCCGGCGGAATGAGCGAAGCGATTAGATAACCGAACATAACATGCCTGGTTTGGCTAATTTTTGAATTTCCCTCCTGCAGAGGGACACGCCCGCCCTGCGTCCAGGGCACCTGTGGGGCCTCAGCAGCCGCCGGCCCCGCGGCGGGCTCCCCGGGCCCCCCCGCGGCGGCTCCACCGCGGCCGCGCGCGAGAGGGCCCCCCTCTCCTCCCCCGCGGGGCGCGCCGTGCGCCGAGGCGCCCCCGCGGGGGCGGAGGCGGCGGCGCCGAGGCCGAGCGCGGCCGCGCCAGGGGCCTCGCGTTTTTGTTTTTGTTTTTGTTTGTGTTGTTGTTGTTGTTGTTGTTGTTGTTGTTGTTGGTGTTGTTGTTGTTGTTGTTGTTGTTGTTGTTGAACATTATTACTTCTAAAGAAATATTATTGTTGAGACCCCTGGTGCGCGACCCCCTTCCAAAACCTAGGCCGCAGCCTCATTTCCTTCATTTTCTAGCGAAAGCTTCAGAAAAGTGGATTGTGTCCGGATCCGGTTGTTTTGTTGTAATCCGTTTTCCCTTGCAAAAAACACTATAAAATGAAAATTCTTGTTCTTACTTGATCAAATTGCAAGAATCCCTTGCAAAAAATAAGGTAAAGTGGACATTCGTGCGCGCAAGACGAAATCCTTCCAAAACCTTAGGTTTCGTAGCGATTTTAACATAAAAACATCAAAAACCCAATGGTTTTTTAAGAAAAAATTGTCAAAATCTCTTCCGCGCGCTCTTGCGGATTCGTAGGAAAACCAACACTTTTTAAACAATTCTGTCAAACGGGCTTTTGCGAGCAACTTTTTCGAACTTCTGCGACAACGGTTGCGCACCTGCCAGGGCCATCATCCCTGTCAAATAATACCATGCGGGACACATTCGTTTTTTCTTCGCGCGCGCACGCCGAAATCTCCAAAAACCATTGGGTTCTTAAGAATTTTAGCACCGCGCATCATAAAATCACACGAATCGCACCGTAGGTCCTCGAAAAACACCTGCACGACTTTTCAAAATTTCCACCCGCGCGCGCTGTCCGAATCCTAAAAAAACCAATGGTTTTCCAACATTTATGTTACATGAGCTCGCGCGAGCTACTTTCGCACGCTCTTGCAACGGGGTTCGCGCGCCTGCCAGGGGCCAGAATCCCTTGCGGTTGCGCCATATGTTGCGCCCTCGGCCGCCGAGAATAAAACGCCCCCCTATTGGTTGCGCCATAGGTTGCGCCCTCGGCCGCCGAGAATAAAACGTCCCCCTACTGGTTGCGCCATAGGTTGCCCCAGGAGGCCTTCAAGAGGCCCCAAGAGCCCGCCGTGAGGACCCAATAAGCCCCCAAGAGGCCCCAAGATGCTTCCAAGAAGCCCCCCAAAGCCCCTCAAGAGGACCCCAAGCGGCGCCAGGAGGCTTCCCCCCTTCCCCAAGAGGACCCCAAGCGGCCCCAGGAAGCCTCCGACTGATCACTGGCACATCCGTAGCCATCTCGGATCAAGGTATCGCCTGTGTTCTTGGATGGTCCATGGCTTTGACGGCGAAAGCCCTTGACGAGCAGTATGGCCCGGAGCTGTCGCGGCCTCCCTTGGCCGACTGCGAGAGCCCGTATTATTTGCATCAGGCGCTCGTTGCAAAGGGTATCCACGTCAGTCACCAGGCGTGCAAGACTTGGTGGGGCAAGTATCGGGTTGTGCCTGGCAAGGTTAGTATTTCTAGCGCCCAGGAGCTGGAGGAGCAGCACGGTTCTGCCATCCGCCACCTGGGCATCGAGTATAATACACCTTTCAAATTATGCGGGGCGCTCCGACAGTTGGATCCACCACTGTATGTGACAGATCAGGTCGCAAAGATGTGGCTACTGCAGTATTCTTCCAAAGAGACGCTTGTCAAAGTGCAGAACGCTGGCCATCTGGAGACCTGGTATGGAGAACGTATTCGCACAGACATGCCCGAGGGGACTACTGACGGGGCCGTCTTGAAGCAGTGGCTCCTGGGACATTTATCTGTATCTGCTGACGCCAGGGTATGTCAGAAGTGGCTCAGCACGGAGTGGGGCGCCAAGGGAGCATTGAATACTGCCCAAGCTGTGGAGGAATGTATAGGCCAGCGTCTTCGACTCAATCAGTATCGGGAGAGCTTCGCCGACGAGGCCGCCGCGGAGGTCCTCTCGCAGATTCTCTCGGAGAGCGACCCTCCCGTCGCTGTCAGCGGTATGGTTTTGAGGCAATGGTACGTGAAGTATCACCCTGACTCCGGACCTTTGCAGTATGACACGGC